CAACAGCATGATATTTGGATTTACAGTCTTTAGCCCAATGATAACCTTTATTGCATTGTGGACACATTTTAGAAGGTTTTCTTCCTGGTGGGACATACTTTGGGACCTGGTAACCTTTGCTCTCATGGCAGTCCCTTTTCCAGTGGCCTCTTTGTCCACATCCAAAGCATGTAGTGTGGGAAAGAGTAGGGCTCCCTTTTGTTAGGGCAGCTGCAAGAGCAGTGGCCATATAGGTTTGGGTGACAATATCCTGGGTAGCAGAAACCCAAGTAGAAAGATCTCCATTCTTTACTGGTCTGATAGCTTGTTTACATTCTTTGGTAGCCCCCTCATATACAATTTGGCAAACCAAGAACCTTTGTGAATCTGCATATTGAATATTGCAGCTGATAGCATGTTTTACAAGAGCCAAGAATTCAGCCCATGGCTCATTGGCCTTTTGTTTTAGTTACAAGAAACTTTCAGTTGATTCTCTTCCAGAGTCAGGGAAGCTATTCCAAGATCTCTTGGCACAAAGTCTTACCTGATCAAAATATTGGGGCATGCCTTGCACCTGTTGAAGGGTATCAGCAAATGGGCCAACACCCTGCAGTTGGTTCTCAGTTAAAGGAACCCCTGTATCCCTATTTCTTTGTGCCTGTTCATCACATTTGTCATAATATTTTGCTTTCCATATAAGGAAATCACCAGGGTTAAGGCAAGTTCAGGCTAACTGCTTGTAGTCCCATGGTGTACAAATTTCTTGACTCAGATTTTCCAATAGAGTAAGAGTGTAGGGATGTTTAACTCCATTCTCCCTGACTGAATCTTTAAATCTTCCAAGTACCTCAGGAGAAATGGGCTCATGCCTTCATTGTCCCTGAGGCCCCAGGATGACTGGAAGGGCCAGAGGGTCCTCTGAAGATAAAAGCACAAAAGGCGGAGGAGAAGGGTCATTATTCCCATCCTCCAATAAGAGTTGCCTAAAAGTTTTTTCTAGGGAAACTTCTTCACTTTCCTTTCTCCATTTTGTTCTTACCTTAGGTATGGCACTGGTCTGAGGATCAATCTGAAATGGGGCCAATGATGGGTAAAGGCCAGCATAAGATGGTGCAGAATCCTCCATAGAGGAAAACTTAAATTTTACATGTTTTTTGGGGTGAGGCTTTTCCTCCTCCTTAATGTCCTTCTTATTATCTTTCTTATTGTCTTCCTTATTGTTCTCCAGAAGACTTGATTCATGAGCCTCTTTAGAAGGATCTGCTAGAGGTCCCAAGCAATAATGAATAGAAGACCACATGCCAAAAAAATGAATAGGAATACTTTTCCCTCTTTGGTGAGCTCTTTTCACATTTTCTCCTATCTGCTTCCAGCTATCAGGATCCAAAATTCCATGCTCAGGAAACCAAGGATTAAATTGGATAATTGTCTCTATAAAATCTTCAATTTGTCCCTGGGTGTAAGATAAACCCTTACTTTTTAGCAAACAGTGCAGTAGCTGTAAGAAATGCCTATGTTCTGAACTCAGTGAGTTCCCCATTCCATCCCCCATCTTGCGGCTTGTGACACTTTGGGTTGGGGCTCCACAGCGAGCCTTTCCCCCTTAAATTATACTGTCAAGATGTTCAGAACAGATCCCAGTCACAGCACCACTTGATGCAGTCCAGCTGCAGCAGGGGCTCTGACTCTGGCCTTGGGTGCTTGAGCGGTGAATAATGGCACAAACTCAGAGTTGTGCTGAGCAACAATGGCATAGTTTATTTTCTGAAGAGTGTATTTAAGCAGTGCAGAAAAGCAGGAAGGAGTACGTGGGAGTCCCCAGGTTTCCTTTGACCTCTGTACTAGGATTGGCTGTCACGTTGCTATGGCTATGAGCCCAAGTGCAGAACATCTTTCTTGGGACTGGGTCTTCCTGGTCCCACACAAAGAGAGAACAGGGGAGTTCAGCAACTGTCCTCTTGGACTGTTGCAATCTCTCTTAGAGATGTTGCACAAAAGCTACAGTGACTCCGCTCTTTTCCAAGAGGCTTTGGGGATACTGAGGGTTTCCCATACAGGTGAATAAGTGTAATAAAACAATAATGTCACAGCCAAGGATGTGTTAAGCCTCAAGAACTGAACTTTATATATTACTTCCTTTCTGATTGCTTCTATTGATTTTATAATGAAAACTCCATTATGTGTTTCAAAGGACTTAGATCTTAATTCTATTTCAATTTTAACTTAATTTAGCTTTGTTCAAATGTATAACGTAGTAATATATTTTCATACTTTCTAGATCAAACAAATTTGTTTTCTTTTTGCTTTGATTCCTAAAGAATAATAAATTTTGGATCACAATGTCCTCAGAAATAGCTGAAGATTATTTTTATTGCTTTCTTTTATTTAGTACTAAGGAAGAAAGTAGAATTCAACCTGATAAAAGATCCTGAAGAGGTACATAGTTTTTATCTGAGTTGATAGAGAGCATTGTTCCATTAATAGTTCAGAGTGCTGTGTGTGTCTAGGTTCGGAGCTCATCTCACTTCTTAAGAGCATTTTTTTCTTACTTTCTTATGACTTCTAACAACAGAGACACATACTATCCATATGTCTAGTTGAAAGTGCATTCTACTCTTATTTGGAATACTTAACCTCATTTCATCTCCCCTTACCTCTTAGCTCTATTATCATTTCAGCTCCTTATCTGTGTGTGAAGTGATACTTTTGTCTAATGATTAATTATTTTACATTATACTAAAATATCAAATGATTTTCTAAGTATGTATTGTGAAGACCTCTGGTGTCTGACTGGCACATAAAAAGCCAAAAATTGCCACTCTGTCCCAACAAGTAAAAAGCTGAATAAACTGAGAAATCAACAAAGTTTAGATCCATAGGCCAAGGGAATCACAAGGCAAACCACTGGTAATAAAATTGGAAGACAGAAAGGTAATACAGAGAATCATATCTAATTGGATCTGAAAACCACAAAAAAGTGCTAGAATAGGAAAACCTGAACTGTGGTTGCTCAGTTGCTGGATGGTCAATATAATCAAGCCTGAAAGATAAAAGTTACAGAAAGACTCAGTCAGAGAGTCTGCCTCCACTTTTATAAGTTTTACCTCCAAGAGCCTTACCATATTTTCCAACAAATATAAAGGAAAATCCCCTCATGCTTTTGGCAAGAAAAGAAGAAAAAGAGCCATTTTGAAATTTTCCAGAGCATTCTGTTTTTCTTAAAAAGTCTGGCTTCCACAGAACTTACTTAACTACACCAACCCCCCTGGCTTTTATCAGAGCCCAACTGACCAAGGGAAGGAAAATGTCTAATTATATTTAGGTCTTGCCTTCCATGTGGACAAGTAGAAATACCTACCTACAGCCCCTTCCTGCCTTCCACATTGGAGATGGGTAATATCAACTCCAGTCCATTCTAGCCTCCTTTCCTACCTAGGGAAGAAAACGGAGAAAAGTTTCTGAAGTTCACAGACCAGATGCACAGATTCACCAAAAGACTGACATCTAATCATAGAACTATAGAGTGCTTCCCTTCCCTCACCTTGCCACTATATTACTAAGGACCTGTGTACAGGAGTTCCTTTTACACAAAATATTGTGTCTAATGATCAAAAATGCTATAAGGAATAAAAAGGAAGAGCATATGGTTTGAAGAAACAGCATGCATTAGAACCAGGGTCAGATATGCCAGGGATGATGGCTTATCAGAAAGGAAATTTAGAACAAGTATAATAAGGGCTCTAAGGCTAAAGCAGACACCACAAAGCACAGACTGGAACTATAACCCAGAAAGATAGACATTCTAGTAAAGAACCAAAATACTAGAGATTGAAAAAAAAATCACTAACAGAAATGAAGAATGCCTCAGATAGGCTTAATAGTACATGACTCTGAGCTTAAGGTAATCTCGACAGAGAACTCCAAGACTGAAAAGTACACAGAAAAAAAAAAAAAACACTGAAAACGTAGAATATTCTAACCTGATGGATAACTACAAAAAGTACAAAATGCACATTGTGGGAATACCAGAAAGAGAAACAATACTTGAAACAACAATAACTGAGAATTTCCCCCAAATTCATGTCAGACACCAAACTACAGACACATAAGGTTCAGAGAACACCAAACAGGATAATGCAAATATAAATGTGAGTAAACATATGTACACATACATACACATATTCTAACTGCAGAAAATCAAAGAAAAAAATTACAAAAGAAGCTGGGAAGTATGGGAAACCTTACCTACAGGAAGCAAATAAAAGAATTATGTCTGACTTTTGCACAGAAACCATGCAAGGTGGAAAAAAGTGGAGTGACATTCAGCTTTGAATATTGAAAGAAAAAGCCCACAACTTAGATTTATGTACCCTGAAAAATTATCTTCTAAAAATGAAGGAGAAAGACTTAAGATTAAGATTAAGATTAAGTCTTTAATCACATAAACAAATATAGAATGGAATATCTTGCCAGTAGACTTGCCTTATAAGAAATGTTAAAAGTTCTTTAGACAGAGAAAAATGACACAGGTCAGAAACATGAAATTGTATGAAGGAAACACCCTGGAGAAGGAATGATTGAAGGCAAAGTTTTTTAAATTATATTATTCTTAATTAGTCTCACAGATAACAGTTTGTTCAAATAATAATATTAGCAGTGAAAGTAGAAGGTTGATTACTAGGGACTGGAAAGGGTGCAGGGGGATGTGTTGAGGGTAGAAAAAGTGTAGGTGAATATGTTTAATGAACTTTTATGCATGAATAGAAGTAGCACAGTGAATCTCATTAATTTATATACTTAAAAAGATGACACAAATAATACAAAATATATGTATTTTGACCAGCAAAATACTCATGTATTTATATCTAGTCTACTTCATATTGACAAACAATGAGTTAACATAACATTTATTATTACTGGTTGATGTTAATTATTGATTATAATTAAAAACCATAATGGACTGTGATAATTATGAGTCATGTTTACTAATTCGTAACTCAACTACTAGATAATTTCTCTCTTTTTACTGGTTAAAAGGCATTTGCTAATAACACACATATTACATATTGAAGAATTCACATACATGATTTAGCTTTCCATCACTATAATAAAATGCCTAACACAGTCACTTATGAAGTATAAAGAAAAATTTATTCTTGCTCATGGTTCTGATCCAACCGACAGCTTCGACCTTAGATGAGGTAACACCATGGCAGTGACCAGGTAGCAGAAAGATGGACCAAGTCATAAAAATCTTCAAGGTCATGCTCCCAATGAAGCCAAGGACATCCCACAAAACCCTCCTCTTAAAGGTCCACAGTACCTCCTAAAACCTCCACCCTGGGAACAAGCCTTTATAGAAACATTCTGAGAAATACTAACCCAAACCACAGCAATTCACATATAGATTTTCAAACATTTTAATAAATCTATATTACTACAAAATGAGGAATGTAGAGGAAATTTTCCAACCTTTTAAAATAGTAAAAAGTCCCCATGAGTCCAAACTTATTTTCTAACACATGAAATGTCTGATTCATCAAATTATGGGGATTGAAAGTCATGAATATGATACTTCTGCTTCTTAACACTTGTGAACTTAACACAGCTGAGACTAGTGTGATCTTTTCTTTAAGTATCTTTAAGAAAGCAAATGGCACAGACCTAAATAATATTCCAGAGAAGCATGGCATTCTAATGTCTAATTGAAGTTTGTTCTTCCAACATTCAAATCCATTTCTCCTGCTGTACATTGCAATAATAGAACCAAAAATTCCCAAATAAATCTGAATAACTGCTGAGTCTTTAAAACTCCAGAAGTTGTGTGATGTTGGAACAAATTGAGCTAGGTTTCAAGGCAGCTGTGTTTATCAAGAATGGTCAGCTAAGGCAGACCTGTGTAAAAACCTAGTGGTTTGATAAAGGGATATAAATCCATGACATTACATATTTGACAGCTGCAAATGAAGAAGGAAAAAATAAAAGATGGAAGGAAATTCTTGTTGCTTAGTCATAAATGCACACTGTGTCCAGCTCCATGCTAAGTGCTGTCAGGTATTAGATCTCAGTCTCCTTTTCAATGAACAAATGTGTACATGATACAGATCAAAAGTGGAATTAGTAAAAAGAGATGAGCTCAACAGCGTCGAGGAAAAAGTGGGAATGATTTAGACCTTAGAGAAAGTGAGACATTGCATCCATCAAAATAGGCCTCTCATATTTTCCCCTGGTCAGCCTACTTGTGTTTGTGGTTACCATTTCATCGTTTCCTCACTTTGTTTTCGTAAGAAAGGAGTGGCAGTTTGCTCAGTCACCCCCTTCTTCTATGCAAGATGGGAAGTCCTGACTTGAACGCACAGCTACAGAATGAGCTAACACTCTTAGTCTTGTTAGAATTGAACTTTCTGAAAGCAGATGAAGTGTTCATCTTTCAAGATTCATTTTTCCTGGAATCTTACCAAGCATATACTCCTGGACTCAGAACCTGAGAAAAGAAAGAGAAAGAGAAAGGAGAGAGGGAGAGAGAGAAAGAAAAAAAATGAATCCATCTAAATCATCTGTATTCCAATGTACAGGTAAAATTTGCAACTGTTCTTTTTCTTTCATAGATCTCTTATTGGAACAGGTGACAAATATGGTGAGAAAAAGAAAGAGTGAGAGAGAGAAAACATATTTAGGGAAAGCAACCAGATTACTGTTTCTACTTTTCTGTGATATGCTGGGTCACTCTAAGCACTTCACTTCACTTCTGAAGAACTCACTTTCCTTTTCTGTTAACATGTGTACTGGGAGGAGGAAGAAACTACTACATGATTGTTAATGTTCACCTGACTAATTTACAAAGAGCTTGAAAAGGGAGACACTGAACAGAAGTCAAGAGAGACACATAAAAGCAGAGAGGGGGAAAGGGATGAAAGACAAAGAAAGAGGGAGGGGAAAAAAGCCTTAAGAGGTGAAAGTATCTTTTTAAATTGGAGAAATAGAAAGGAAAAAGCATGAGGTCATGAATCAGAGTTAAAATCATAATGAATCACATTAGTGGTTCTTAAACTGTGGTCCTCAGACCAGCAGCATCAGTCGCCCCTGGAAATGGGTTGCTTCCACACAAATGCTACTAACTTGTTAACTCTGGGGCCCAACTCAGCAATCTGTGTCTCAACAAGCCCTCCAGGTGATTCTGATGCATGCTGAAAATTGGGGGTTTCTCAATATAGACAATGTGAGTGGAAAAAAAAATAATTCTAGAAGATTTTCTTAAATATATTTTGCATCTCACTTTGGGAAGACTGACTGTGTTTGTGTCTTTCTTTCTACAGAGGGAGGATGCTTCTCTTCCCAGTGGTTCTTGTGGACTGTGGCTGGGGCCTCCACCCTGCTTCTCAGTGTCTGTTTTATCACCAGATGTGTTGGTGGGTTCTGAAGGTCAAATTCAATCTAATGCTCTAGTTGAAACTCTTCTTTGCTGTCTTTGGCATCTCTTCACGTACAAAAGGTCTTTCTATTCCACATTTTCTCTTGTTAATCTCCAGGCTATTCCTCAAGTTAGAAATCCCAACTAGTGCAGAGCCATTACCAAATTTCAGTGACCTCTGACACATTTTTCATGTTGGACATTTTTCATCTCCTTGGTGGTTTTGAGTTCTTCTCTTTATATGCCTATCACTAATGCAGGCTTCTCTGTGAGTGATTATCTTGGAGCTTGAACTCACTGCTAAGGACCAGAGATACAACAAACTTTATTTTGGAAGGTTAGAGAGAGATAAACTTGGTATATGAGGGTATATAAATATAGTTGTTTTCCCTGAGCCTTTCAGTCTGAAACAGTACATTCATCTTTATAAATCATGAAAACCATGAACTGTGAATACCCTCTTCTTTCTTTGAGAAAGTGAATCACATTGTCTTGCTTGTGGAAGGAAAAGTAGATAGCAAGAAAGCATCATGTAATTACTGGTACTTTTGTTATAAGCATTAAACTGACAAAATAGGTTTTTATCAACAAAAGAATAATGAGCATTAACAGTCCCTCTTCTCTCTTACAGTGACATATCACAGCTTTCAAACTTGTGATAAGAAAAAGTTTCAACCACATGAAAGTCTCAAAGAGCTCTCATGCTACAATGATGAGTCAGGTATACAGTCCTCAAAGTCAAACATCAAAATTTATATATCAACATTTTTCTGGATTCTAGATTGACTTTGGGATAATAAAAGTGTAATTGGATTAAGTCTTAATTTTCAAAGCAAAATGTAAAATCCAGTCTGTGTACAGAATAATGAAGAAGTATTTACAGTTGAAGAACAAGCTTTAGAAATCCAAGTAGCATTTGGACAGGAAAACTCAAGGATATTATAGGAAACTGCTGAAATGAATTTGAGATATATGTCTGAATAGTGAGTCTGAAAATGAAAGGTATTATTCCTAGGAGTGTATGTTTTTCATCATTAATGTGCTCCAAAATAAGGTGAAGGCAAAAAAAAAAACCTACAGAATAGAAAATTTGAAAATATCTCAAAAATATACTCTAAATGCTCTTGTATACTTCCCTGTTCCAAATCTTATCAAAATGCTTCATAAGACTAAGTGCCAGGGGCTCACACCTATAATCATAGCTATTCAGGAGGCAGAGTTCAAGAGTATGGAAGTTCAAAGCCATCCCGGGCAAATATTTTGCAAAATCCTATCTCAGAAACATGTACAAACACACACATACACACACACACACACACAAAAATAAGGCTGGCAGAGGAGTGGCTTAGCTGGTAGAGCCCACCTGCCTAGCAAGCATGAGGCCCTGAGTGCAAACCCCAGTACTGCTTCTGTGAGCTATAATTTCTACACCATTAATTATGAAAAAACAGGCCATTTATTTTCAATAAACCTCAAAGTCTGAGATTTCATAATTTTAAGAAATTTAGCCCATTTTTACAGCATGATTCAGAGATCTGGTTCAGAATACATTGTTTAGGCAATATGAGAGAGGTTTGCTTGGAAATCACCAAGAGGTAATTCATAACATTCGTTTTCTGAGCTTGGCAATCTCAAAATAGAAAATTGGGTTCCATGTCTATTGCATAACTGAGATAGATTCCATATATCATTGTATCCACTGGTACTGACTTCTAAAAAATAAAAGCTATGTTCAAAAGACGAGAAAACTGCAGTTTATGTTTACTGACATTGAAATTACTTGAAGTCTTAGAAGGTAAGAGTAAGTGGCATGAACAAGGGATTGCAAGTCTTCTGACTATAAATGTTGGATTCCATGGGATCAAAAGAAGCATATTTTGTGGCTCAGTTCACCAGAGATACTCATTGAAGCTTCTCTTCTCCTAGGTTCAGTCAAGAATTGCTGTCCATTGAACTGGGAACCTTTTCAATCTAGCTGTTACTTCTTTTCTATGAACACCATGACCTGGACATTAAGTTTAAACAACTGCTCAGGCATGGGGGCTCATCTGGTGGTTATCAATACCCAAGAGGAGCAGGTATCTGGAGTACAAGTTTCTCTAGTGTTGGCTTCATGTTCTTCACATGATCCAGTCCTTTCCCATACATTTGCACTGTTTGACCCTCACCCACAATTTGTTAAATGAGTGAACTGAAATTCATGTTATTATTTCTATAAGTCACTACTTATTTTATCTTTATTACTAGGAAACTTAACAAAAAAGGCAATATCCATGTAAAGTTCCATCATTAGTTAGGCAGGGTGAATAAAGAAGACTGGGAGTTAGTTTTAGAATGACTTTTACTTATGAACATATCATATGAAAGAAGGCAGTGATTGTTCCATTATTTAAATTGTGGTTAATAATGCTTTCTGCTAGATAGATACATTAGATTTGACTACCAATAGCACAAGATAAACTTTGAATGAATTATGGTGAATCTCCTATGTTGAAAGTTATTTATTTTCAGTTTAATTTTATGCATAGTTTACCATAGAAAAGAATTAGTAAATAATCTTTAATGCTCTTACAATTTTAAGCCCTTTTTCTATCATTTCTAGTCTAGTTCCTAGTTTACCTCTGTTAAGAACAATTACTTTCAACCATCTCTTTGGAACTGAAAGGATTTCCTTTATCTTCTACAGGAATTCCTTTTCCACACAAAACCTAGAAAGAGAGAGTTTTATATTGGCCTGACTGACCGTGTGACTGAGGGTCAGTGGCAATGGGTAGATGGTACTCCTTTCACAGAGTCTCTGAGGTAAGTACCTTCTTGCAGGAAACTTGTAACACTATCCCAAAGTTGGGCCACTGTTCAAGGGCTTTCTAGGTACTTCATTTTCTTATGTGAGATCTATTGGTAGTATTAATACAAGAAAGGGAATAGCTAGTATTGAAGAGAGGAAAAAAGAAATGAGCTCCTATGTCTCCCATTTTCTGAGACTATCACAAGAATAAAGGAGAAATAATAGATGAAAATGAAAAGGGGATTAGAATTGAAGAACAGTTAACTTTAAATAAAGAGCAGAAGCCAGGCATGGTTGCTCATGTCTGCAATTCTCAGCTAGATGGGAGGAAAAAACAAATCACAGTTTGAGGCCCAGGCAAAAAGAAGAGAACCTATGTGAAAAATAAACTAAAGTGAATAGGGATGAGGACATGGTAAAGTCCCTGATTCAACTTCAAAAGTGCCAAAAAAATGTAGAACATTAAAAGAGTAGTGCTGAGTATTATCAAAAATAGTAATTTAAGAAAAACAGTACATTCATATTTTGTAAATGTGGAAACCTCTTGATAAAGTCTCTTAGTAGTGACCTTGAATCATTATGATTTTCGAAGGTTTTCCTCATTAATTATTTCACTTTATGGAAATTACACCTTTCTGAGATATGTCAATGCTATTAATCTTCATTTAGCATTTGAGGAAACTAAAGGTCAGGTGAATTAAATGACTTTCCCAGCTAATAAGCAGCAGTTCTAAGAGCGTAGTCCAGATTCTCAAGAAACTTGCTTCACTACAGAACTATAATAGTGAAGCATGCACCTAAGGTAATTTCATGCTCTGTGCAGAATAGAGAACCATGTGTTATGTGAGATAGGAAATAAATCCATCAGCTTGTCAATCCTTCCCATGACTTCTCATGCTGTGTTAAAACCACAAAGGCACATGACAGAATAGCAAGTCAGGAAGATATAGTTAACTTCAAAATACACAAACTCCATTACTTAGACAACTGGCCTAACTTTTCTGAGATTCCTTTCCTTCATTGACAAAATGAAGATAATTATTTCTCACTCACAAAATTGTTGTGAAGTTAAAGCTGGGCCCCAGTGGCTCACACTTGTACTCCTAACTATTTTGAAGACTCACATTTGAAAGATTGGGGTTCCAAGACAGTTCAGGCAAAAAGTTCACAAGACCCTGTCTCAACAGATAAAAGGATGGGTGTGGTGGCCCCGTGACAGCAGTAAGCCTAAAATAAGAGGATCACAATCTAGGCTGGTTCAAAAGTGAGACCCTACCTCAAAAATAACCAGAACAGAAAGGGCTGGAGGCATGGCATATGTGGTAGAGCACTCATTAGCAATCCCTGATTTCACACCCCAGTACTACCATAATAATTGTTCTGAAGCTAAATAACACAAATGTAACTTGCCTCCTGTATTAGGTCAGTTTAACTCTTCTTTCTGGGATATAACACCCACCATGTTTCTCTTTTTCAGCTTCTGGGATGTAGGGGAACCCAACAACAGAGCTCTGCTGGAGGATTGTGCCACTATAAGGGACTCTTCAAATCCAAAGAAAAATTGGAATGATATATCCTGTTTCTTCAATATGTTTTGGATTTGTGAAATGCCTGCAATAGGTATTTCAGACTAAGAAAAATTTCTTAGATTAAGAAGCATGACCCATGTTGTGTAAATGAAACCAACAAGAGGATGACCACACTTATAAATAACGTGCAAGAATATTCACTGACATAAAGACTTCACGAGTATTTGTTACTCTGATGTAAATAAAAATAAGTAGTTTTCAGTGCTAAAATTCATGATTTTATTCTCTACATTAATCTAAGGTCCTCCTCAGAATTTACAAAGCTATTAACTAACAAATTCTACGAATGGATACTTACTTTCAATACATTTGCCTCATTTGTGAGTATTTATTTGAAAGGACAGGAACACAGAGCAAGTACAGGGACCAGCAAAGAAGAGGATGTTAGAAAGTGCTTTTGAATAATCACCTGATCATCCTCTTCTTTCTAAATTCTGAAATATCTGTCTTCCCTTCTTATATTGGTTTTTTCTCCTGACCAAGCATATATCATCCCTGTGCCTCCATACACTGATGAAGAAGTTTTTGCAAGTCATGAAACTTGTTCCTGCTCAGAAGACTGGTGTGGCCCTCACTGCACCTCACTAGGGAAATGCTCCAAATGACTGTAATCTAGTCCACTCATTCCTGTTCTCCCTTTTGGCTCCATTCTCTTCTAATGGGTACTCATATCAATTTGGATCTACTGCTCACCCAGAAAGAGTTTTTTTTATGATAAAAACTTTATTGTCTTAAATATCAAATATTTTACATACCACTTTTTCTTCAGAAAGTTCCTATTAAAAAAGAAAAATAAAATAAAGTGTTTTGATTATTTAGGGCTGATTTACATTTCAGTTTGTGACAAAAACTCCAACTCAAAGGCATCTAGTTCACCCAGCTGCAGACAGGTCTTACGTTCAGCCCCTCAGCCAACCAACCAACTCTGGATTCCTGAGTTTGATTCTTCTAAGTTCTCAGAGTTTCCCCAACTCTCAAAACCAAAGCACTGGGGAATGACTGAGCCACTGGTAAAGTCTAGGCTCATTATGCCAAATAGCTTAGTTCCTCTCATAAGACACAGTAGTTTCAAAACTTAGTTAGAAAATCTTGCAATACACGAGCAACTGCAAGAGCAGAAAGAAAAAGTTGTTTCTACTTATTATGGGTTTGCCAAATACAGCTAGAAAACTAGTAAATGAATCTTTCTTGAGTGCAAAGGTCATGAGCCCAACTTGCTGTGAAGATGAGATTTGGAATAAAAAAGCTAGAAAACTAGTAAATGAATCTTTCTTGAGTGCAAAGGTCATGAGCCCAACTTGCTGTGAAGATGAGATTTGGAATAAAAAAGCACAAATCATTTGACATTGTAAGTGCAGGGCAAAAAAAGCAAATTCAATCAATATGCTGAATTGATCTAAGTTTGTCACCAGAAATATTTCCAAAAGATGATCAGGGATAGAAGGAAATGCAAGCAGTCAGATGGAAAGATCGTAGGTAGGTGGTGTAAAATCAGAAATCTGTGAGGCCTTGAAAGAAGGAAAAGGAAGTCTGGCCAAAGAATCAGGAAACAAACCTATCTCAACCAGTTCTTGCAGAATATAGGTCTACCTACAGATGCATTACTCAAGGTTGCAGGAAAAACAAATTCTTGTAAACGCAATTTCTCATCAGATGAATTTTCCTAGGGAAAAATGCCCAGCATGGGCCCTTCCTCCAAATAGCTATTGAAAAGCTTCTTATGGTACATTAGAGAAATACAATTCTGTAAAAGCACCCTGATTTTGTATTCCGTGCTACCTCTTCTTCTTCTGTAGAAGAAGAAGAACCCTTATACCCTTATACCCTTGAGCCATTTGGCTGGTAGATTTCTTAAAATAGTGACTTAGAACTTGGCAGTCTTCCACATCTTAACAGCCCAACCCCTTGGAGATTCTAGATTACCAAGCACCAATATGTAATTGATAACCCAGCGAAAGCTTCCTAACTGTGAACTTCAGAAGTCACTAGTAAAGATCCACAAATTCTACCTTTATGCTTCAGGATTTTTAAATTTTATATTTTTTATGATAGTGGGGCTAGCTCAAAAAAGTGACCCAATGCTACATCTCAAACTCCTAGAAAAACAAGAACAAGCAAAACCCAAAACAAGTGGGAGACAAATAAAAAAAAATAATAATAAGGGCCAAAATTAATGAAATAGAGAGCAAAAAACCATACAAAGAATCAATGAAACCACCCTGATTTTTGAAAAAATAAACAAGTCTGACAAGCCCCTGGAAAATCTGACTAAAATGAAGAGGGAAAAGACCCAACTTAGTAAAATCAGAAATGAAAAAGGGGAGATAACAAACTCCAAGGAAATCCAGGGAATCACCAGAGACTTCTTTGAGAACCTATATTCCAATAAATTGGACAATCTGGAAGAAAGTACAAATTTCTAGATACTTATGACCATCCAAAACTGAACCAAGGATATTAACCACCTAAACATATATGTAACAGGCAATGAAATTGAAGCAGCAATAAAGAGTTTCCCAAAAAAAAAAAAAAAAAAGCCCAGGTCCTGATGGATTCTCCACTGAATTCTACCAGACCTTTAAAGAGCTAATACCAACACTTTTTTTAAACTTTTCAATGCAATAGAAAGGAAAGGAACAGTGCCTAACTCATTCTGTAAAGCCAGTATTACACTCATCCCAAAACCAGACAAGGACATATCCAAAAAGAAGAACTACAGATCAATCTCTTAATGAAAACTGAGCAAAAATCCTAAATAAACTGCCACTGAATGACAGGAAAAAAACTGGTGAGTCTCCCCAACTACCTAGTGAGACTAAGACAGAGCTTCTGCATAAATACCAACACCAGGACTGGATGCTGAAGGAAATAACACCAGAACTACTAAGACTGAAATTCTATTGTTTCCAAATGTGGAATTTTTTATATGTTTATTGGTTTGTTTGTTTTGTTCTCTGTTTGTGTGTCCACCACATCTCCCTGTTGATTTCTTTTATTTTTTCTTTCTTTCTTTGTTTTGTTAGTTTTACTATTGTGAGTTAGCTAATACTAAGTTACACACAGACCAGGGACAAAAACAGCATACATACACTAACTTAAAACTCAACACAACCACAAAACAAAGTTAAACCAAGGGGAAAAAAACAGGTAACAGAAACCACCAGTAGCCTATCAAGAACATAGTTACACAGTACCAAGTGGAGTGATGGGAAGACAAAAAAGGGATGGAAACCGTTCTCCCCCCAAAAATAAATTAATACAGGATTCAGAGGGAAATGAAGAAAACAGATAGCCAGTTACAGACTCAAACAAAACAAAGATAAACTATGCCAAGGAACACAATGAAGCCCACAAGAACATTCTGAAAGAAGAAATCCTGCAAGTAAACACTGAGAACTTCATGGAAATGTTACTAAACATGGTCAACCAAACCGTACAAGAGTATGAAAAAATTTCCAAGGCAAAAAAATAAAGAATATGAGAAGATACCAAAACAAATAAATGAACTCATAGGAGCCCTAAATAGATGCCAAAGTGAAACAGAGGACAATACAAATAGAGAGATAAATGAATTAAAGAAGAAAATTGACAATTTTAAAGAGGAAGTGACCATGATATGGAAAACCTCAGAAAAAAGAATGAAACAGAAATACAAAACACAATGGAAGGCCACTCCAGCTGACTAATCTCAGAACTTGAAGACAAAATGGAAAGTAAATGAAAAACTTAAGAGCTGTTAGTCAGACAACTCAAGACCTGTGAAAGGAATATACAAGAATTCACCAACTCCATCAAAAGACCAAACCTGAGAATCATGGGCATGGAAGAAGGAGAAGAGGTGCAAGCAAAAGAAATTCATAATATATTCAACAAAATAATAACAGAATATTTCCCAAATCAAGAGAAAACTATGCCCATTCAGGTACAGGAAGCCTACAGGACACCAAACACACTTGACCAAAATAGAACTAACCCATGACATGTTATCATTAAAACAACAAGCACAGAGAATAGAGAAAGAATATTAAAGGCTGTAAGAGAGAAAACACAAATAACATACAAAGGTAAACCCATCAAAATCACAGCAGATTTCTCAACGGAAACCTTAAAAGCAAAAAGAGCATAGAGTGAGGTCTTCCAAGCACTGAATAAAAATAACTTCAGTCCTAGGATACCCTACCCAGAAAACTATCATTCAAAATAGGTGGAGCAATAAAAGTCTTCCATGATAAGCAGAAAATAAAACAATATATGACAAACAAGCCACCACTACAAAAGATTCTTCAAAAGATTCTGCACACAGAAAATGAAAGCAAACAAAACTATGAAATGAGAGGCAGTACCAAACCAAAGGAAAAGAAAAGACAAGAAAGTAGAGAGTAAGATTGATCAGGTGCACACAATCAAACCCTTAAACAACAAAAACAGCTAAATGACAGGAATAACCACATACCTATCAATACTAACACTGTATGCTAACAGACTTACCTACCCCAACAAAAGACACTGTTTGACTAACTGGATTAAAAAGGAAGATCCAACAATCTGTTGCTTACCAGAGACCCATCTCATCAACAGAAACAAGCACTGGCTTAGGCTGAAAACTTGGAAGATTTACCAACCCAATGGCCCCCCAAAACAGGCAGGGATAGCAGTACTTATCTTGGACAAAATAGGCTTCAAACTCATATTGATCAAATGAGATAAAGAAAGACACTCCATACTAATAAAGGGGGAAATACACCAAAAGGAAATAACAATTATCAACCTATATGCACCCAACATCAATGCACCCACTTTCATCAAACATACTCTGAAGGATTTAAAAACATATATAAACTCCAACACAGTGGTAGTGGGAGATTTTAATACCCCTATCACCAATAGATAGGTCATCCAAACAAAAAATCAGTAAAGAAATCCTAGAACTAAATCACACCATAGATAAAATGGACCTAGCTGATGTCTACGGAGTATTTCATCCTACTTCTGCACAATATACATTCTTCTCAGCAGTCCATGGAACCTTCTCCAAAATTGATCATATCTTAGGGCACAAAGCAAGCCTCAGCAAATATAAGAAAATAGAAATAATACCATGCATTCTATCTGATCATAATGCATTTAAAACTAAACCTCAATAACAAAAAGAACAGTAAAAAACATGCAAACAATTGGAATCTCAATGATCAATGGGTCATTGATGAAATAAAAGAGGCAATTAAA